AGCTTTAATATCCTTCCCAGGTGCATTTCTTATAGCAAAAAAGAGTAGAAAAAAATTTAACTCGATTTTGATCGGTACGTTTATATGGCAACTATATGCTATAGTGTTTCGATCTGCACAATATATTGGAAAATAATATACGCCTAATTTCGTAAAGGTATTTTGTCAAATAAAAAAGTTTTCCGTACAAGAACTTGATTGGGATCGATCCGTTTGTATGGCAACTATAAGTTATAGTGGTCCGATATCGATGATTCCGACAACTTCTTAGAGAGAAAATTACATGAGCAAAATTTCAGTTCAATATCTCAAAAACGGAGGGACTAATTATAGTATATACTGAGGAACTTGGCTAAATCCATCCAACTGATCATTTGAATGTTATACATATATGTAATTCATGGCAAACTTAATACAACCTATTCAAAGTAAATTGACATGGTGACATGTACATAACCGTTTAGCTGTCCGATCTCGAAACAACCGGGAACCCTTCATCATTACTTTTTACTTTCAACTATTGTATGCCAGCTATTCGCGAATATTGTCTTTCTACAAGGCAATAACACAGCAATAATCTGCCAAAACTCAAAAGTACTAAAAGAGGTTTAGAAGTTATGGAGTGTGGGAAAAAAACAGAACTTTTCAGCAGAATTCATGGCAATCGCAGTTAATATCGATCGCCCACTATTAACTATGTACCTTAATATTTCATTTTTATTTACCAAAATACTACTAAATGAAATGAAGTAAGCAAAAATAATAACAATTGTATGAGACTTACGAACTGTGACCATCTTCGGATCGTAGACGGAGACGCGCTGCTCCACAGCTATGATTTTTTGTTGAACAGTGCGCGCACGCTCACCAACCGACAACAGCTCGGTCTGCAACTCATCGAATATGTCATTAGCTAATAGCACCAGCGATGCCAATTGGCGCAAGGCATTGCTCAATGTGAGATTGCTGATGGATTCGAATTCATGACCGGACACAATTTTCGCTGCTGTTGGCGATTGTGTGCGCTGTTGACGTTGTCGTTGCAATTGTTGTAATTGTAATTGTCGCTGACTTTGCTGCTGCTGGCCAATCTCTCCGGCGCTAGCGCTACGCGTTGGTGATGGTGCGGTGGATAAGAATTCCACATGGTGTTTGAGCTTCTTTAATGAAAGCGGTGCAGCTGGTGTAGAAGTCGATGCCACGGAAATGTCTTCCTCCGTATCGGTTGCATAACTGAAACTGCATGTATAACCGTTTGTTTGATTATGTTGCTGGAGGTGTTGTTGTTGTTGCTGATGATGATGATTATGATGTGAGCAATCGACGACATCACGCATCGGTGTGGTTGGCGCTGATGTGGCAGTTGTTTTTGTTGCTGTGAAACCAAGCGTACTCGTTGTTTCGCCGTTTTGTTGCGACACGTGTATTATAGCTCGCGTAACGGTGGTGTGGTTAGCACCCGCAGTGGGTGTGCCCGCAAGACTCCGTGTTTGCTGTTGCTGCTGCAGCTGCTGTGCAGTGTCCTTGGCAGTGGCTGTTGTCCTTGAAAGTACACCACCATTCTCAATGCAAGCTTCCTCTCTCACATTTTCTACGCTCATATGTTGTTGTGGCTGTTGTGTTTGTGTCGTTTGTTTATTAATGCAGTTGTTGTTTTTACATTTGCCGGGCGTGCAATGGAATTTGGCGGTTCGCGTGCGCTCGTCAACTCTGGAGGAGGCGGAAGCTAACGCCAGTCGCGTCGGTTGCACGACGCGCTGTACGAACGGCATCTTCGGCTCTCAGCGTGCTTAAATATGAAGAGAGTGGGTATTTTTGTTTGTTATTGCAATTATCAGCGTAGACTTCCGACGGGCAATGTGGGAGGCGGCCGGCCGGCAAAGTGTTTATGCTTTGTATAATTGTTGTTGTTACAATGCGAAATCAAAAAATTTATTGCAAAAAAAAATTACTACATTACGTTAGGTTGTAAAAAAATGGCCGTGCGGTTTTATATAAAACCTATTTTATTTTCACAATAAGTAGGCACTGCGAGGTTTTATTGGCACTGGCACTTCAGCATTTTTTCTTCATTACACATCACTTTTTATAGACACTTTCGAAATGATAAACATATTTTATTTAATTTTTTTTTTTAACATTTAACTGATTACACTTATCTCTTAATCTCTGCTCTTGATATGGTTCTACACGTTAAATATATTTCGCTTTCTGATTATGAGCATCAACTGCACTTTAAGAACTTCTCTCACTCATTATTTTTCACCTCTGCTGCTCTCTTGTCGCACTTTTTTTTTACTTTTTTAATGTACAAAGCCTAAGTTAGCATTTGCTTTGATATCCAACATTTTCTTCATCTTCATTTGCCGGCACTGTAAAAATTTTTAATGCTTGTCGTGATTCAAAGCAAAAAACAAACTGGAAAAACAACTTTGAGCTCATGTTCGTATAATAAATCCTCAGTACGGGCACAGACATAGCGCCTTTGGCTGCCAGCATAAATGGTTGCTCTTTCGTCGCCCCGCTGGGTTTATGAAGCAGCTTGTCTTGGGTTTTGTGCTTCTCAATAGGAGCATTTTTATATGTCTTGTATATACATATGTATGTATTACTTTTACGTATTTCGGAATTTTACTATAGTTCGAATTATTGTTTTTTTTTGTTTTTTTACATACATGTAATCTGCAATATTATTTTGGCTATTAACCTAGTTGATTATATGTTCCCAAACATTCGCAATAAACGCTCTTTCTACAAGCACTTTACACTTTAGTACAATTACACTTTGTATCTTCATTCGCACTCTAACCCACAGGTATTTTCTCTCAATTCAAATCAAACGCAAAACAATTGGTTCACAGTTATAATTCTCGGTCAGCGATGTAGTGCTATTAACCATCTATAAAATTCATATTATGTTTGTTCGACATATCGCGTGGCAGCCGCTCCTTTAAAGATTCTTTGACGGCAGTCTCAACGGTTTGTTTGGCTTACGTAGACCGGGATGCGTTGGTAGGTATACAGGTAAGTGACTGGCGATGCTGGCAAGGCGGTTTTACTGGTTTTCTTCCACCAACATAGTTCGTCACTCGAATCAGAAGTTTGAATATGTTTTATGTGGCGCGGAATTAAAGCATGTATAAATTGCTTCGGCTACACACCAAAATGAATTCAAACTTAACGTTCTTGTTAAAATTAGTATTTAAAAGTCGCAAAAGATTCGAACAACAACACAATATTGATGAGTTATATTTGTTCACTTTTCTGATTTAAGTAATATTAAGTACAAGTGTTTTATATAAATATTTTGCTGGTTTGAGCTGTCACTTTATTATATGCACTTTTTTTATACAAGTACCGTTATTTCGATTTTTTCGCGTGAAATTTGTCTGACAGTCCGGATGTACAGGTATTGTTCCCACTGAGCCATTTCTGCTTCGTTATTTAACCGAATTGGCAATTTGAATGATAAACGAACTCACCTTAAAAACCACCTCAGTTTATTTCTAAACACGTCACTCTTACACACCGGTCCATAATCGACTGAGGCGCGCGCGCCGCATATTCATGAATGGCCTGATGTTAGCAGCTGCTGCTGCAGCAATGCGGGGTATTTTTTTGCCCGTTATGTGCGTGTATATTGAGTTGGGTACACTGCTATATGAAATTCGAATACTATTTACGAAAACTGCTGCTGATTAGGGTTGCATATACAATATTTGAATGTCAAGTAAATTGAAAAACATAATAAGCACTAATAATTCATAAAATTATAAGTTAAAAACCACATATAAATACTTTTAAAAACAATACTATTGCCTAAAGAAACTTTATGATTATAATAAAGTCGTAATTGAATAATTTGTTTGAGAGCAAGAGCTAATGCAAATTAAATAGGAAGGAGTCTGAAGGATTTACTTTCTTTGAATGAAACGGTTTAATTTTGAAATTTTCTGTATCTATGAAGAAACTTTGTAATTGCATAAGCAAATTATCTAATCGCTAAATATTTTCAAATTAATTTTACACAAAAAGGAGCATTTATATAACTAAGTACATATTGTATGTAAATACGAAAACTCCTGCCCTGCAGTCCTACTACAAGAAAACATATGAGTATATCGAAGAACTGCCATCTCTAAATTCGAATTTAGCAATTGTCAAACAATTCATAAACAAAAAATTACAAGTTTCAAGTGCATATGAAAATTTAAATAAATATCGTGTGGTATATTTGCAGTTAAAAATGGGTTTCCTTTCAGTTTTGAAGAAGATGCGGCAGAAAGAAAAGGAGATGCGAATACTTCTATTGTATACTATATATTAAAAAATTCGAGTGATTCATACTTCATATTCATATATCGCATGTATTTTCTTCAACAGAGGGCTAGACAATGCCGGGAAAACAACCATATTAAAGAGATTTAATGGTGAAGCAATAGACACAATATCTCCAACGCTGGGATTCAATATTAAAACTTTGGAACATAATGGATATATGCTGAATCTCTGGGATGTGGGTGGACAGAAATCGCTTCGTTCATATTGGCGAAATTACTTCGAGTCTACTGATGGTCTTGTATGGGTGGTAGACAGCGCAGATCGTATGCGCCTTGAATCATGTAAACAAGAACTGAGAGTTTTGCTACAAGAGGAACGTCTTGCTGGTGCTACACTGTTGGTGTTAGCAAACAAACAGGATTTACCTGGAGCACTTAGCGCAAATGATATAAAAGATGTAAATAATTTAAAAAATTAATTTTTATGTCAGTATTTAGAAATATATGTCTTTACTTTTGTAGGTACTTGAGCTTGACGACATAACAACACACCATTGGTTAGTTGTGGGTGTGAGTGCCGTAACTGGAGAAAAACTCTTAGGAGCTATGGATTGGCTTATAGATGATATTGCTAAGCGCATATTTACCTTAGATTAGTGATCCCATAGTGAAAAAGGAACATTCAATTTTAGTATTATTCGGCTTCTTAATATTTAGCACTTATTTTTCTAATAAATATAATTTGTATAGTTGCTCCTCCGTTGTGCTTTTAAATTTCGGTTTTAAATTTACTTTGACAATGTGTGTGAAGCCTTCGTCCTCTGTTGGATTTTTATATTTTTTCTTCATCATATTGAAAACCATTTCATTTATCTTTGAGTGGCTACTATCCGTAAGATGTCTGTATTTTATATTATGACGCACTTGATCCACTGGCACGTTCATAACAAAACAACGACAAGGGACATTGTATTTCTTTGCTAGCATTATAAACTTTTTCCTCGACTCGACATCTACATTTGTATTGTCCACAACACAAGATGTCCCGGCTCCCAAGGCTTTCTCACATATTTTAAGGCATGCCTGAGTGCCTCCTACTGTGTCAGCATTGGCGATAGTGTAGTTATGTTGTTCAAGATACTCTTGACAAAAGTAACTTTTACCTGAAATACAAATTATTAAATGCGACTTTCATAAATATACGTTAGAAAGCTTACCGGATCCGGGCAAGCCCACCATAATAATCATTTCACAGTTATCAGCAGGAATATCTACATTTTTAGGTTCCAAAAGCAGGATATCCTTGTTGTTTACAATATCGCAAGGCTTATAATCAGATTTCAGCCAGTGTTCCGTGGGTTTACCCAAGAAGTGCTCTTCAGGAGTATAAAAAGACACATTGATATTAGCCGCAAATCTACGGTCTGCTAGAGAATGATCTTTCCTGCGCTTGTTCTTGCCACTGCCGCTTTCTGGACGTCCGGCCGCATCGCCAACATAGAAGCTCTTGCTTAAATCTATATCAATGCCCTCGTTTTTATTATCCACCAAATATTGCCACATTCCAATCAATGGTTTCCTGTAGTGACCTTCTTCGATAGCGATATAAACTTGTACAGGTACTCCTAACTTAGTGAGTATATCTTTGATTTTTCTTTTAAAATCATCTAATTTTATTTTGCCACTTCCTATACCTCCTTGATTTGTGAAAAAGCAAATTTTATATCCACTTTGTTGTAACGACTTTAATTTTTTTTGTACTTCGGGGTATAATAATTGCCAATCATCGGTATGTTTTGGGAAAACATTACCAGACTTGGTGGTGATAATTGTGCCGTCAATATCATATCCAGCGATTTTGTCTGACGCTTGTACAGCATCATCGGTGTATATCATCATAGCACCATTTCCTGCGGACTCCCATTTTCCCGTTCTATTTTTACTCATGCTGATTTCGCTTGATTTCACTTCATCAATGGGATTTCGGTGATTTTGTTTTTCATTTGTGATGTTTGCTTTCTTTGTAGGTGACGGTTTGAATAGTAGCTCGAACTGATGTTTACCGTAAACAAGTTCAATGATGCTCCCGTGCTCCAGATTGCATTCGCTATCCTGCATTATCATTACACCATTTACACTGCAAGGATTTACACCAATTACTCGCAACTTAGCTTTTGTATTTTCCATGTCTACGTCGAATTCCAGTTGTCGCTTGGAACAATGAACATCTCGTATGCCAGTTTCAGATGTTCGTCCTACCATATTTCTCCCAGAATTTAAATTAATAGAATTATAATCTGATGTCATTGGTTGAAGAATACATGTTCGCTTGCCAAATGTGGATCTACCACTGTCCGTAAAGGATCGTTTTAATGATTCGGCAACCGACATTACTGCTCGAAGTACCGTTATAACTGGAATAGTTGAAAAAGCCCTCTAAATACAAATAAATGTTTTAATTATTCGTTTAAAAACTTACAACTTTAAATTACTTTATAACAAAAAAAAATAAAGATAACTTCTACAATGTAAAAGTTTGACTTGTCGCGCCGTTATCACTAAATTTTAGCAACCAATCGTAAAAGTCGATTAATAAAAAACGTCAGCGATTTTTAGCATCAAAGCGAAAATACATTACTTGCGTAACTTTGACAAATTGTATACCCAACCAAATCTCAAAAAATTAAATGGGTTTTCGTAAACGCATAAGTTGCATTTTTCCTACTATAAAGCAATAGATTTTGCGCAAACAACCAACAGCACTTTGTGAATTGCAAAATTTTATGTTTCATATTTCATTTGTTAAAAATTTATTTTACGCTATTAAGCACATTTCAATGCTCACGCAAGTTATGTACTTTTGGCTTTATAAAACTATGAATTATCGATATTTTGATTTCTCAGATATGTATTTCAAATAGACCCTGAAATCAGCTGATTTTGTTTTTTTTTATATTCGACTGTTCACTACGCTGTGTGTTACCGGTACTTTTATATTTTGAATTTACTATGAAAACCAAATTAAACTAATTATTATTGCATTGAACGATTTATCTAAATGTAAAGCCAAAATGGCCTCATTTGAGCAATTTGTGTTGAAAGTAAAACCAGCGTTGGACATGTTCCTGCGGGCGCCCAACAGGGAGCATTTGGAGCGGCTTCGCTATGAACTATTGCAATTTGACTTTAGACAAATGAAAGTATTCCATTCTCAAATATTAGCGCCACTCATACTAAAATTGGAAGAACTAAATGGGTATATTATACTTTATGAATAAAAGAGCGCCAATAATCTTTCTTCTGTAGAGTAAATCAGGACTTGATGACGGGCATTTTGGATTGCGTGCGCATTGTTATGTCCAAGCTCTACTTAGAGGACATACAGGAATTGCGCACGTTGTTAGTAATCGTGCTAAAGCAAATTCGTGAATCTGGTGCGATCGCAACGCGTCCGAACATAAGTGAGGAATTAAAGTTGGTTTCAGTACTATGCATTGCAGAGGCTTTGCGCCGTTCCAGTAGTGATGTATTGGAAGAATTTTATAAGCAAGAATCTGCTATGCTCCTCGGGCAGATACTATTATCGCTAGTTGAGTTTGTTGAAAAAGAAAAATATCGGAAATTAGTGTAAGTAACAACGTGTTATTCAGTCAATGGAAGGGCAAATGATTAAAATTTTTATATTCTTACAGAATTGCTTCCCTCGTTTGCTTAATGACAATTTTTTATGTGCATGATGAAGCGGAATTTACAGATGTAGTACTAAGGAATCAAGTAGCCGACACGATTTTTATATTTTTGCCAAAAATTGTTACTGTCTTATTGAAAACTAGTCTTGCCGATGAAAAATTAGGCGAAACACTTAAGGCGGTAAGTATATTACTAATTACTCTATACATTAAATATTAAGTATGCGGTTTGTATAATTCCTTAATATCTGCTGCATACTTTCAGACGGCCATTAAAGCACTGGGTCGGGTACTGTGCGTGATTTTTGATCATTCGGGTGATGCAGTTATCAAACACAGCTACGATAAGAATGAATTTAGAAATATGTTTATTGAGGCGTCGCAACTTAAAAACCATTCATCTGAATTCGATACTTACGCAACGACCAACAAAAGCTCTCAAGAACAAATTGCAAGTCGCCTGAAACGTATGCAAAGCAGTGGTCGCTCCAAAGAATGGTTCAAGGATACTTCAGTGAAGCTTCGCATAGTTTATACACAAACAAGTATTTTGCGTTCGCACGATTCGTTGCGTGTACGTACCGAATATGCACGTATGTGTTGCAGTCTAATAGAACGTTGCGGCCATAACCTTTCAGGAAACTTTCTGCTTTTACTCGAGAGCGTGATATCGATGTCGCTGGATGAAGATAAGAATATCAGTCAACTATGTGCACAAACAATATCTCGGCTACAACAAGACAATGCTATTGAGAGTATTTTTGACGAGTACGCCGATACATTATTCGATGAACATTTAACGAAATTACCACGCGTAATCAATCGCTGTGCCGATGGGGAGCAATACGCTGAATTGATTTTCTTAAAGGGGTTTCTAAAAAACTTAAGCGCGTCGAAAATGAAATCTCTATTTTTGGTGCCGAAAAATTTAGAAATGCTTTGTAGATGTCTGCTTTCAGCAGTTGATATGAAACTATGTCGCGCTTTTTTAACGGAGGAATATGCAGTACGAGAAGTAGTAGGGGCTGACATTACGGAATGTGCCAAACTCAGTTGGCGACAATATAAACATTTGAATAGTGAACGTTGCATTAAGTTAGTGGAAGATATTTGTGTGATTTTAGGCAAAACAAATGAATTGAGTCGTTTGGTGTATGACTTGCTCTTGGAACTGCTGGATAAAAACAGTGAAACAATGAACGAAATTTTGCTAATAATGCTGTGGGTCGGCGCAGGTGATGGAAACCGAAGTAATTCTGCCAATATGGACTTGGTAGAAATACTAGCTGAAGAAATCTTGAATGATAAACACTGGCACTTAGCACTGCGGCCTGATGCCAGCTGGCGATTGAAGGTGGATAAGGTATTTCATCTGCTCGTTTACTTATTTGTATGCCTCTTATGTGTTTAAAAAATTGTCGTTTTATTTATTTAGCCAACAAACTGGTTTGTGGACAATACGCCTGGCTTATACGAGTCGGCTGTAGAAATTAGAACACAAGACGTGGATTCAGATGATGAAAAGGATGCGGATACAGGTTAGAAATTATTATATTAAAGAATATTATTTAAATAAGCTAAAATTTGTGTATGCGTTGTAAACGATAATAATTTATATTTTTAATTGCATTTATAGTGAGCCGGTCACAACGTGTCACCATTTTGGATGCCGAATTCAATGTATTACACACATGTCTAGCTTTGGATGTTTTAGGACACTGCGCGACACATTTTGGCGACAGTTTTAGCCGCTACATATTTCGTTGTCTGCACAAAGTGCTTTTAAAAGTGGGTAAGTATATTAAGTTTACCACGAAGATATATATAAATGGCCAGTGTGAAGATTCAAATTAGCCAAGTCTGTCTGCTTGTGGGTCTTTATACACGCGAAGTAGTCACTCAGTTGTAGAGTTATCGACCTGAATTTTCGCAATCGTCCATTTCTCACCATTCACTGCAGCATATAGCTGTCATACCACTGCTTGTATGAAAAACTTTTGTATTTGTCCGGGATATTACATCTTCGGTGCAGCCGAAGTAAACCTTTTTGGGTTTTTGTGTTACTTATTTTTTAAATTTTTCTTCCACAGCAAGTAGCAACACAATGGTTTATCAAGCGGCCAACTTTTGCTTAGTCTCTATACAGAAAGCGTTAAACTTTGCAAATATCTCAGAATTGATTGAAGCACATACGGATTATCTCAGCTATCATCTGAATACCATTTTAAAGCGGGTTGGTATATTTAACTAAAATCACCTATCCAGTTATTTACATAATTTCTTTTCACCACAGTCACCTGAAAGCCATACTGCGGTTGACATATTAACGGTACTGCTACAACTAAGCACTCGCAGAGCTTTACCACATTTGGAAAACATCTTCCAAACAATATACAATGAATGCAGTAAATCACAACAATCGGAAAATGTTAATGCATTTTTGCGTGTTTTCAATGCCTTTCTCAAACATGTCGCGCGCTGGCAAATGTCGAGTGATATGGAAGTGTCCGCTGTGCCCATGCAAGTCGAGGATACTCAAGATGCAGATCTCCTACAAAATTGGCTGGATATATTGGAAAGAACCGGTGCTTTTGTTGAGGATGAAAGTGTGAATATGGAGAATGAGGCAAATGCAAAAAGTACAACAAACACTACGGATGATGTTGAGATGAAAGATGAGGAGGCGGCAGATGATTTGAAGCCACCATTACCACGTCACATACAAATGGTTAAGGATATAACAACGCAGGTTTTAAAATTTTTGGGTTTTGTTGACCAAACGCACCAGATACTGGCGCTCGAGTGTTTAATACAGGCTTTGCCTTTACTGCATGATTATGAAGATGAGCTGCTGCCATTGGTACACTTGACGTGGTCACCACTGATGGAGAGATTTCGTAACAACGACGCTGTGGTCTTAAATCGCTGTTTCACGCTGTTGAACGTGCTGGCAACGCACGCTAAGGAATTCATATTGAAACGGAGCTTAGAGTATATTATTTGGCGCGTGTTTGCTTTAACACTTTAGTAACCATACTTTTTTTTTATGTATATTTTATAGTGATGTGATACCCAATTTGAAGGATTTCTTGCTAAAATCAGCGAAAAACAGCGTGATGGAAACAATCACCGCGTAAGTTTTCAAAATCATTTCTACATTGACAAATTTGTATATTAATTTTACTCTTTCATATTTTTTTTTTTATCTTTTTCTCAGTCACACACAAGAGTATAAACTGCAAGTGATTCTGCTTGAGCATTTTGCCAATGTCATTGAGAGCTTACAAATCGATGGCAAACATTTAAATGATATCGCTGAAATTGTGTCCCTTTATCTTGCGAAAGAGCAGCCAAAGGAGTTGCAAGAATTGGCCATCCAGTTCTATCTACGTTTGCGTTTGTATGATGGGCCACTGGCGTACATGATTGTGTTGAAGAAAGCGCACATAAGCAATTATAAGGACAATGCAGAAACAGTGCTGACAAATTTTCGTAAAAGTGGAAGCTCTAGTAGTAATATTTGAATAATGTTAAGGAAATTTTATTGCAAAAATATTTCATTTATTTATAATTCCAATTATATTGCGTGAATATTTCGAAAATAGTAGTTTAGTTAAAGTATTTACTATTTTCCTTTATATTTCCATACATCCCTGATCACAATTTATTCCCCAAAAAAATATGCAATCGTTCTATGAGTGTAAAATAAAACAAAAAATGTCTTGCAATATTTTGTATTCAATTATATACCGGTATGAAATAAAAGTTTTTTGAATGGAACAGTAAAAAAATTTTTATTGAAAATATTGACCATTGCTTTTTTTACACATTTATACCACCTTCGTGGTAATTTATGGGTCCCATGCCGAATGTTCGTATTTTGAAGCAAACCAAGCAAACCAAGCAGACATCCAACTTTCGACTTCTGCGTAGGGGTCGTAGTGCTGCTTAGCCAGTGTGTTCCTATCGATGAAAACAAATAGTAAACGGATCTCCGGACTTGTCATATAATTGCACTCCGAACTACGACAAAATGCCTCTTGATTTCTCCCATCGAACACCTGCACGGTAAGACCCGTATACTCCCAGTTAAGGAGCATAATAAGCTCCTCTCCGGCAGTCCCTGCTGGGATGCTTTTGTAGAAATCTTCTCTGCAGTCATAAGCATGGAGCGAAACCGCCTTCTACGAGCATCAAGAGGTCATCCATCAACTACGTCGACGACATCAAAAAATACGCCGACCAGACTTCGGGCGCAATTACCTTCCGACGAGCACTGAACGTATAGTGGACCCATCAACACCTTCACCGACTCCCTCTCAGTGAATGGCATACTTGGAGTCAAACCACCACCCATTGCAGAAGAAGAGCTCGAGTTGCCGTGAGACACGAAAGTGACGAGAGCAGCAAGTGATGTATGGAAAATTTCAGGTCGATATATCGGACGGATATATCAGACGGACAGACAAACAGATGGGTTTAGCTCAATGACTCAGTTCGTCACGCTAATTATTTTTAAAAATATTTTATAGGGTCTTCGCTCCCTTTCGGGTGTCAGAAACTTCTTGGCAAACTTAATATACTGTCTTCAAGGTATAAAAAATATTTTTTACTTAAATAAAATTATCTTTTTTATTGTTTATTATACGTAAAATTTTGCGTACCGAGTATTTTTGTGTGCTTAATGAAGTTGCGGATTGAAAAGTTTTGCTGTGTTGTTTTACCAATTGAATTTTATGTCTTTAGCAAGGGTTATTATTCTGAGATCTGTTAGATTCTAGAAAACCAGCACATGGATCACATGTATCTGAATTGGAGAAATCAGCACAAGTATCTACATCTTGAACAGTGGGGCAGCAAGGGTCACATGGATCACAAGCATTGGAGCTATTACGCGAACGAATCTGTTCGCAGAAAGGCGCGTAGTTTGCTAAACCAGAGAAGCCTCTCGATGATGTTGACATATATTTGCCGCTCGTTCTTCCAGCACCCGTAGTCGATCCAGATCTATCGGTGGAGGGCATTGTAGATGCAAAAGAAATGGGCGATATATCATTGACATCTTGAACAGATCTTCGTCGATTTCGACGTGGTGTTGAACGCCCAGTTCGTGTCATTGACATGGATGGCGGACTTGGCGGCATGGAACCGTCATTAAGCATTTGACTCATTGGTGACATTTTTCGTTGTTGTAAATGATTTGTGTGTGACATGCCCATTGACGGTGGACTGGCGGGCATTGAAATATCGCCAAGGTTTTCACTAGGTAGTGACATACTTCTCCTACGTTGGTGGCCACCTGTTGCTTTTTCAGTCGGTCCGTCGTGGTAAACACGTGAGATAGAAACAGTTGAGGTCGTTATTTTTAGTTGCTCTTTGGTGCTATCCATTAATGGCGTTTGGCTGTGGCGTCCTTGCGTGCCAGAATGCCCCGGCGTTACACTGTGTTCTTGTTCATAGGTGCCACTTTGTTTAATTGTCGTGTGCGTTTGCTCTACAGTTGCTGGGCCACGATGACCCTGGCCATCCCTACCTTCAGAGTTGCTTCTTTTTGGACTGCCTCTGAACGGGCTACCTCTGGTTGAGTCCGGCTGACTATACGAAAGACGACGTCTAGCTGCATCAGGTCTTGGTGTACTTGTAGCTGGTCTTTGTTTACTAGTAAGGGGGGTTCGTTGTGTGGATGGTGTTCTTAGTAATGTTGGCATAGATTCATCCGCAATTCTGGGGTCTAAGAGGAATCGTCTATCCAGTGGTGATTCATATGAGACATCCGCAAAACTGGGCATAGTGACATGTGAAATATGTTCACTTGCTGGTGATTGGTAAGAAGGTGCAGAAATATCCCCAAGCATTTCGCTAGGTAAGTTCGTAGGCGTGCGTGGTGTTTGCGGAGGTGGAGTTCTCTGATAAGATGGTTGGCTCATATCGTCAAGCCGTTCACTTGGCATGTTTCTTGGTAGAGAAAATCTTCGTGGGGAAGTTACTGGTGTACTGCTGAAGAAAGTTGGCTCACTTATGTCAGCTATTTGCTCGTGAGGTAAATTTGTTGGATAACTTCTTCCCGGTGACGGACCAATAGGTGTAGGTGAACGCAGTGAAAAGTGGGGCGCTGGTGGAATGTGCATTGAGGGCGAATGTGTTTCTCTTAAAGTTGATGAAAGCGGTTGGAATCGTTCGGGTGATTTTATAGTACCAAACTCTGGTTGCATTTCGTGCGTCGGACGTTGAGGAGTGAATGCTTGAAATGCTGTTTGGCCTCGACTACGTAGGTGCGGCGTTTCCGCTGTTGAATGTACGGAACGAGAAGGTGGGGTTGGTGATGAGACGTAGGATGATGCAAATAATGGTGGGCTCTCGTCTGCTAGCCTAGGATCGAGTAGGAATCGCCGATCCAGCGGTGAACCGCATGATGCATTTTGGAAAGATGGTATGGACATTTCATCCAACATTTCACTTGGATATGAAAGAGATGCAACCGGGGGAGTTCGATAAGATGGTGCTGAAACCCTTGATAGTTGTTCTTCGGGAATGCTGGATAAATGTTGCAGAATATTTTCTGCGGACATAGACGGTAAGTCATCCACGCATGGTGGAGTGACATCGGCAAGGTTGTCACATGGCATGTCGGATAGATCAAAGCTTAAACGTCTACGTATTGAGTCACGCAAATTTTCTATTTGTGCTGCTGGCCGTGGGCTTTCGGAGAGTATACCAGAATCCGCGGAAGGAGGGACTAACCTGGTAGGTGAACTTTTCGGAAATTTAGTCTTAATCTCTTTAGTGTGTGTTTGTATGGATCCGCGTGGATCAACCGTGACAACAATGTGCTGGGTGGTGCTTTCAAGTTGCCCATTCTCGTTTTCCGTTCGTTCTATAACTGTTTCTCGAACACATTCACCTGGTGGCATCCCGCCACTGTTCAAACTAGGTTGTGCTGGATGACCAGATGTGTCAGCCAGTGGTCTATGAAGTTTAGATTTTAATGAATTGAAACGTTGAATAATTTCGCAATATGTTTTGTCAAAGCTCGATTCGTCTTTTATACTCGATGAATATTGATTTCCATGTGACAGCGATGGTGATCTAGAAGAAAACATTGTTGGCATGGACTCATCAGCCAAACGGGGATCTAAAAGGAATCTTCGGTCCAATGGTGATCCACACGAAGTGTCCGCAAAAGATGGCATTGATTCATAAGATAAATGCTCGCTACCTGGCGATTGATACTTTGGTGAACTTATGTCACATAACATATCTGATGGTAGATTCTTTGGCATTTCCGGTGTCCTAATAGGTGGCGTTCTCTCAAAACATGGAGCACTAATATCAGATATGCATTCGCTGCCCATATTACTGGGGAATGACCTTTGAGGCGGCGATGCGTTGTAATAACTGCTAAAATATTCTGGTTCAGTTATATCTGTCAAACATTCATCGGGCATATCTGTTGGCATTGGACATCTTGGTGTTGATCTCACCGGTGTAGGAGATCGCAAACTGAAATGTGGGGCAGGTGGTGTAGGAGAACACACAGGTGAGGGACTCCTTGAACGTGTAGACCTCGGTGCTGGTGAATACCGAGGAGAATATTGTGATCGTTGAGGAGTTGCAGATCGGGATTGTGCATGTGGAATGGAGGGATATATTGCTGTTGGTTGAGCACAAGGCGGAAGGGATCTGCACGGCGATAAACTGCGAGGTGAAGGAGCAAAAGATGGTTGACTTTCGTCCATAATTCTTGAATCCAATAAAAATCGGCGATCCAATGGTGATCCACAGGATGCGTCTTCAAATGAAGGCATTGTCATGCTGGACAAACGTTCACTACGTGGTGTGTCGTACATCGGTTGAGACATATCACATAAAAGTTCGGATGGCAGTTCATGTGGCAGAGATGGTGTTCGTGCGGGTGGGGTCCTTTCATATGATGGCTCACTAATATCCCCAAGACATTCACTAGGTAAATTACTAGGCAGGGGACGCATTTGACCAGGTGTTCGAGGAGGACTGCTGTAGTATGATGGTTCACTGACATCTGTTAGACATTCACTAGGCAAATCTTTAGGTAGAGAGTGACCCCGGACTGGTGTCGGGGAATAATAGGAAAAATGTGGCGCTGGGGGAGTAGGTGTACCTACTGTGGAAGGAGACGAAGCTCTCATGGGTGAGCATTCTGCAGTTGCTGAACGTTGCGATATTAACTGTGCAAGATTGAACCTACGAGGTGGTCGTTTGCGTATCGGAGTAGGCTCATAGTTTTGTTGTTCCTGCTGGAGTACTGCACACGGTGAAGGACAAACACCTTGTGAAGTTGGCGCTGCTGGCAAAGGTGTGTCTCTTCTGGAGAAGGATCGTTTCGGCGAGGAAGCACGTGAGGAGGCGAATGACGGTGGGCTTTCTTCGGCCAATCTGGAATCCAAGAGGAAGCGCATATCTAACGGTGAACCACATGAGGCGTCCTCGAATGAAGGCATCGTCATTTGTTCTAATGCCTCACTTGGAAAGGACATGGACGGCGTTGGCGGTGAACCAAACGACGGTGCGCTAATATCGCAAACCATATCGGAAGGCAAATTCTCCGGCATTTGCACTCTTGCTGGTGATGGCATATCGGAGACGGTGCGTTCAAATGAAGGCACAGAAATATCTTCCAAGCATTCGCTGGGATACTGTACCGGCGACGGCTGTAGTCTGATTGGCGAAAAATGAGGTAGCGGTGTTGGTGTCGGCGCCGGTGGTGTTGGTGCACACACATCGGGTGTATCCATTAAACCGATAGGTGTATAATGTATTTGTGGCGACGGCGAGCACATTGTGCTATTGCATATTGGAGCCGATTCGTCATCTAAGCAACTATCCGGAAATGATTGCCTTCTGTGTTGGTGCACTGGCGATTGTGTACGCCTCGGAGGGCTAGTTGAAATGGCTGATATATCGAGAAAGTCCGGCGCGGATATATCGCATAAATCAGGAGTTCTTTGTTGCTGTCTTCTGGGCGACTGCACACGCCTTGGCGGCGTTTGAGCCGGCCACGGTGAAGCATCTGATATTTCGCAAAACTCCGGTGCGGATATATCGCAAATATCAGGCGTTTTTGGCTGTTGCGGACAAACATTGCATGCGTTCTCGTCATAAGCTTCACTAAAGTTGGGGCTTGAAAAATCATCCAGCTGTTCTGATGGCAGATCACAGATATTGAATTGCGGCTGCTGTTGATATGCTGGCCTAGCGTTCGCCGCGCGCATCGCTTCGAAGGCCCCAGCATTCGTTTCAACTGTGAAATGAAGTACGATGTGAGCGCAGGCGTACGAAGTTCATACTTAAAATGTGCGGCGTTAACTTACAGTTAAGATTTTCGAACATACGCGGATGTTGGAATTGCTCATCTTCGCATAAACCAAATTCGTGCGCCTCATATTGGCGTGGCGAAGGCGGAAACCTAGGCGTGGCTGCGTCCAAACTGCGTCTGGGAGCACATTGTCTTGCCGGCCGGCAGCCACGCACGCGATCCTCATTAATTTCATGCATGCTATTAAACCGTGTTCTTCGAAGAGAAAAATACCGTTACTTGCTATATGCGATACAAACTTCAAGTTGACTACCTTCGATTTTCGAAATATGTTGGTGTTGTTTGTGCTTCATTGGGGCAACTAAAAACAGAAACAACTAAATATATTCCAATTAATGGCCTGACGCCAAAAAAATAGCACTTCCAATACCTCATTCTACTGTGTGCGCAGAAACTGGGCGCTTCATATATTCAATGCTAAAAAATAAACAGATACGAGTCCTGTAAGTCAAAAATATATTTCGTGCCGAAAGCCTGGCTCCAAAGTTGTCGCAAGCTATTCGATTGGTAAAACAGCAAACTGTTGGATTTTGTGCTGATTTGTAACGGAAATTTTACAACAAACTAAATGGTTTAAAAATCTTTAGTTTTTGACTAAAAAAAATTTTTTTTTGTAGTGTTTTTGAAAGTCTGAATTTTGTGGCACATGTAGTGTGTGTAAAGTTCCAAAAAAAAAAAAAAAATTATAATAATAAGAAAAATAAAAGAATGCTTGAAGCAACTGTCACATTGGAGGCAGTGTAACCATTTAAATACACACGAAGCAATGTTTTGAAACTATGTGAAGTTCACTTTATTAAAAATTTTAATTTGATACATATGTACGTATGTATTGTTTTAATTGCTCTATACTTTGTTTTCATTCCAGTTCACGCATATCAAAATGCAATTTTCCATTTTCACACTTAATATGAATATATATATATATATATTTATATGTATGTATGTATGTATTATATATAAATATATGTATGTATGTGTGACTAAGAGTATGTGGCATCTAGCCCAGCCATTCATGCAGAGTTAAATTCATTCGGCAACATGCATGCACCAATTTATGTTCTATGCGGCTGTTTGTCTTTACAATTTCTCGTTTTTTACTGCTTACACTAGACCGAAACTAAAGCATAGCGGTAGATATATGTTTGTTTATATAAACAAAGTAAATTTAGAGGAAATTTAAAAGTTTACAAAAGAACTAAAATTCATTGACTGTATCGTACTCAAAATTCCGAATTTTTCAATTTAAGAATTATGTAATAAAAATTATATTTTTAAAAATTTTGAATTAAATTAAATTTTCAATATTTAATTTCAAAATTTTCGAAACTTCACTAAGTTTCAACTTTTGAAAATTGGTATTATGAGTTGGATATTCGATATTTAAAAATTTTGAATTAAAAGTTAAATTTTCAATATTTAATTTGAAATTTTTCTGAAATTTTAAATTAAAAGTTTAAATTTCAATATTCAATTTCAAAATTTTCGAAACTTAATTAATTTTCCAAAATTCGAATTTAAAGTTAAATTTTCAATATTTAATTTCAAAATTTTCGAAACTCAATTAAGTTTTCAATTTTTAATACCAACAACTTCAAATACAAATTAAACTAATTTTTTATATATATTGAAATTTAATTTACATTTATATTTGTTTCATACATAGCAAGAATTTAAAATTTGTCTTTAATCCCAAAACCAGAATTAAAAATTGATAAAGTATAAATCGTGTAAGCTTACCGACCAGTGCTCTATAATATTGAAAATGTTGGCTCTGTGCTAGTTCTAGTTCAAAACGGTAGAACACGAAACAAGCGAACGCAAAAAAATAATAATTTCCTTTGATTCTTAATTGTATACTTGGGATTATTTTTATTTTACAATACGCTTTTTGGGATTAAAAATTTAAAACAATTTAAACCAATTTTTGGAACTTAATTTTTTAGTTCCATTTTTGTGATTAAAATATATTTTGTTTAATTTTTTTCTATCCGGTATTTAGGAAAAAATTTAAAAAATGAAATTAAAAAATTTAATCCGGTTTTTTTAATTAGCTTTTTTTCAATCCAATATTTGGGAATTAAGATTTTTTTATTTTACAATACGGTTTTTTAGATTAAAAATTATATTAATTAAGATTTTTTGGGATCAAAAATAATTAAACCCGGTTTTTGGAATTAAAATTTTTAATTTTTTAGTTTTTAGTTCCGTATTTGTGTTGTGTGAAAATTAAAAATAATTTAATCCGGTTTTTAGAATTTTTTTTTACTTTTTTAGTTCCGTATTTGGAATTAAAATATTTTTTTCCAATCCGGTATTTGTGATAAAAAATTAAAAATAAATTTTAATCCGTGTTTTGGCTAAAAAATTTGAAATATTGTAATCCGGTTTTTGGTATTGTTTAGTTTTTAGTTCCTTATTTAAAATTGAAGTTTTTTTGTAATCCGGTATTTGGGAAAAAAATTAAAAATAACTTTTAATTCGATCATTGGAATTAAGTTTTTTATATTTCTTAATCCCGTATTTGAAATTAAATTACAAATATAAAGTTATTTTAATTAAGATTTTCGACATTAAAAAATATTAATTAAATTATTTATTTCTTAATATATTATTTGCAACCCTGATAGTGCTTAGTGCTTTTTGCATAAGACATCTTAATATATAACTATATAAAAATAATATATAATTATAAAATGAATAAAACGACGCTTTTGGATATATTCATAGCAAAACATATTTTCCTTTCTCTATTTCTATACATTTTTTTACAGTTGTATATACGTGTTAAATGTAAAATAAAACTAAAATGTGGCATAATTTAGATTTTGGTTGACTTAAACGCATTTTCGTTCGGTTGATAAAATTTGCAAAGCAATTGAAAATTGGTAAAAAGCTTAATGAAAAATACAAAAATTGTGTATGTGACTCGACAACTTTTTACATTATTTTCGACTTTAAAAATTGAAAACAAGTAACCAACAAATCAATAAGTAATTGCATGTAGTTTAATTTAATATTCTCTGCATTTTTTGTTTTGAAATTTGCAAAATAAACTTTAACAAAGCCAAGCTTTTAGGAAGCAGGTTTTTACGCTAAAAACTGCGTATATCGAATATAGTGAATTTACGGTTCGCAATATGTTATACTATTAAAATTAGATAGTAATTGATGTTTTTACCATACTAGTTTAAAAATAGATTGTAGTTAGCATGTTCTTTATTTTAGCGATTCTATACTAAGCACCAGTTTACGTTTTCTTCTTTATAAATGTGAAACTCTGTGACTTTATTTCGTGAGCAATTTTTGAGTTCAAAATGCGGTAGTGTTCATACGACATGCTGATATTTTTGTTTTATCGTCTAATGATTTGTTTCCTTGTTTAAGATATACAATACTTGCTTAAACGCCAGCCGAATTTTATATTACTATACAGAGTTAACTTAAACTACATGGACAGCATGCTCATTAAGCTGTTTGCATATGCCATTGGCTTTACATCAGGATGAGGCTGTAATGAAGCAAAAAAATTCCATTACGTTTACAGACTTTCAAAGGGTCGTGAAAAAGTTTGTATGAATATACTTACCACAGATTCGAATGATTTGAAATTCGGTTTCAAATCATTGCCTTTTATTGTTATAAAAGCGCCCATATTGCCCATAGTATCGCTGTTAGAAAAAATTACGGTAAACAATTTTATTTACGATATTGCGATTTTGGATATACGATATTACGATATTGTTGCAAGCATTATATGCTCATTAGATTACAAATTGACATAACTTACCAGTAATTAGGTGCGGAAAACACCGTAATGCATTGGCCATCATGTGTGACTTCATAGCCCATATCTTTGACCTCATGACTGCGTACAACATAATCCAAATTATTTCGTTTACAAAATGCCTTTGTAACATCGGGTCCGAATTGTATGCCCACACCACGTTTCGAGGGACCACGACCGGGCCATGCTTGCGGATCGGACCATAATAGTTCACACATGAGTCCCTCCTCGGGTGGCTGGCAGTTGCGGTCGATGCAGCGTAAGTCATCTAAAACGACATTGTCTTTCGAAAACAGACCACCATGCATGACAAGAATCTTCTTGTTAATGCAATGGCATAGCGGCAACCAATTGAATACACGCGTAAACATATCAGCCATGCGGGAGGTATATTTTGCCGATACTTCACCAGTGAAGCCGTACATGTGATTCATGTTAATGCTCTCGTGGTTGCCTAAAATACGTGAATATAATTAATCTCAGTAAATTTCATTACTAAATGATCATTAAAATTTGTTTTATTTTTACTTACCACGAGACATAAAGAAGTGATTCGGATATAAAAGTTTAAAACCGAAAAGTGTGAATATACACTCAACAGAAAATGAGCCTCTATCAACGAAATCGCCATTGAATAGATATGGATTCGTCGGCGATGGCAAGCCATTTATTTTGAAGATATTCATAAGATCATAGAACTGACCATGAATATCGCCACAAATTGTAAATTTCGATTCATCGGGTACATTAATGTCAACGAGCGAGGGTTGCGTTCGCATATATTCGTCAACATCGCAGAGTATCTGGAAAACAATTTAGTGATACAGTTTTTTTCTTTTAGATATAGATATTAGGTAGACTAACAAAACGGTGATTGAATATTTAGTATGTAATGAGAGATATGAGCGCGTACATTTAGGTGGTAATACAAATACTAATCTAATCTATAAAAGATTATATGATATATTTATGTATGTAAAAAGTCATAGAAATGCAATTATGAAATGATCAACTTAATACGTACTTTATAAGCGTATTTACGGTGCAAAATTTTTTGGTTTTTGTAATGCTCCATTAGTTCCAACATGAATTCCAATGTTACTTTGTTATCTTTGAGGGCCGGCCCCGTATAAGCATCTTCGATTGCTATAATTTATTATAAATAAATAAAAGCGGAATGAAATCAATGGTCATGCCACTAATTGCACATTTGCTTTACCTATATCTTCTAGTTCTTTGTACATTTCGGCTAACGTTTTTTCGGGTGTATCAACCGCGATGGCACGTTCGAAAGCACGCATTTTAACTATTTTATTGCATTCCGTATACTTAAGTTTAGCATCTTTGTCATTGGGTCGACATTTTGAGACCTAAAATTATAAACAAAAAATTATTTTATTTTTTTTATCACATGAATAAAAATTATTTGTACTTACATATTCAAAATCGGCTAACGCTTGCTTGAATTTACCAAGTGACATTTGGGCTGCGGCACGACGGTAATAGCCCTTCAAGTACGTTGGATCCGCTTTAACAGCGGCGATACCATCTTGTAGAGCGTAACCAAAACTCTCTTCTCGCAGATGAGCTAGTGAACGGTTGGCATAGTATATTGCACAGGGGCATAACTCTATAGCTTTCGTGTACATTTCAATTGCTTTAGTGAATTCCTTATCTGCGAATACAAAGTAAGTTGATTTTTAATATTTTGAAATAAACGATAAAAAAATTTTTGATATTTTTTAATTTACATAATTTCGAGATATATCAATAACCAAACATTCAACATTTTGACTTTGTACTTTTCGAGTCGTCCGCAAATTCAATTTACATTATCGCAGACCAATTAACACCTAATGACAACTACATATATTATATTAGTAGCAAAAACGTTAAGACGACAGACGGGAATCGGTTCGGCGGGTTGTCATACTCAATATTTGCATATTTGCCGTCTATGTTGTTGTGAGGTATTGCACAGTTTAAGGTTAGAATGAAGCACGATTAAGGGTGCGCGCAATGTTTTTAGTTGTAACACACGCGCCTACGTATTAAACGAAAGTGCAACGACATTAAAATAATAATCCACGCGAATCTTATACAACTAATTTATGTTTTCTATGGTCATATAAGTATTACTTGGTTAGTGTCAACATTAATTTTAACTTACTTTTTAACATCTCATTTCCCTGATTTTTGTAATTTTCTGCTAAATCCTTTTGTTCATCGACACCATTGTTGGTTGCTTCTTGCGTTGTTGTTGACGTATCCATTTTAGTGGTCTTTTCCACTGCATTATTATTCTCGTTCAACGCATTATTGAGGGTGGAGGCGGTTGAGTCGGTGCCTTTAGCGGTTGCTTTACTCACTCCATCCAATATTTTATCCTCGTTGTTTTGCTGCACTTCAACTTGCGCCGCCGACATGTTTCCAGCAATTTTCCCTTAAATTTTCTTCACAATTTTTTATTCCTTTATCACTAATTCGTATGCTGCACTTCCTTTATGGTGGATTTGATACTCGTGCAAGTGAATGCGTTGGCGCTGAGGTCTATATGATTTGATTATCTATGAATTCTGTTTTTGCTAAACGCGTCCTTATTTTTATATACTTTGTACCGAAAATTAAATAGTTTTCTTAATTTAATGTCTTTAAGAAATTATAATTATTACATTCTAACTTTTCTCTCGATTTACCTGCTTAAATTTCTGAAATGAAAAAAAGGTGCTCATCTAGAAAAGGAAATTTTCTGACATATGTTTCAAGTGATGCCAGATAACATATGTTTTACGATAAGGCGGGAAATTTATTTAATTTTATTAATTTTTTAATATGATTTTGCCAATTGATCGTAAGAAAATGAAGACCTATTTGGAAAAGCGATTTTGGAAAATTTTGCCTGGATAATTCTGTGGAGTTGATAATAATATTTTGATATAAATTATTGTAAGTTACCTTTACCAATTCCAGGCTCTAGTGAGAAAGAATAGCTTTCTTTTACAAATTTTTAAGGGAGTCCCGGGTAAATAAAATTCTTCACTCAGGAAGTATGATTTATGGAATTAATCAATTTACTAAACAACACTTGAATCAATTTAGTTAATAATTTAATATTATATGATTTTGTTGCCCCTACTTTTTACTCCGTAACGTCCCTCCTTTTTATCTTTTATAAATGATGTGTCCTCGGATGTTGGCAGCTTCGAAGCTCTTTGACAGCTCTTTAATTACAATTGCATAGAAAGAAAAACAAAACTAAAATGCATTTTTATAATGGTGAATGCAATAATTTGCACGAAATCTTAAAGTAAAAAAATTAAAAACTTTGATAATTGTAAACTTACAAATTCAAATTGAAGTTAGCGGCTTATAATTCTGACTAGAAATGGGAATTGTGCATATGTACATATGAACAAAACAAGATTGCATTATATCCAAATGTGCATTCCTATGCTTTTAAGCAATTTAGAGATTCTAGTTTTTCATCTTTGACTTTTCTAGTCGAAGAAAACTGTCGCGCAGAGCTCAAAAAGCTAGGTTGTTTGGAAAAGGTAAGCTGGGCTGAAAAGAGAGCGGTAATAGCATTTGTATTTGTGCAATCGAGTGAGCGAGTGCTGCAATAAGAAAAGATCGGCTTTAAGTATCTTACGTATACAAAAGTGAAAGAATTAAAGTTTAGTTAATATCAATTCAGATGTCGAGGTAGCTGGACTAAATGCGGTGACTCAGTCGACAAAAACACTTAAAATTCCAGTGAACTGCATATTAATTCACAAACTTTTGGTAGTATATTGATTGAAAACTATCACAAATATTATAATATTAGGCCATAGTAATGGCTATGAACAATTTATCAATTGATGGCGAGTTTCGTTACATCATACAGTGGTTTAACGAGTGGAGTGAGTTGCAGCGCGATGACTTTGTACCGGTGTTGTTAGAGTATCTACAGCAGGGAATTCCTAACGAGGTTTATATGAACGGCATTGTAAACTCTGTGTCCCAAAGCAGCATTCAGGATAAGCCAATGAGTTTATTCCAATGTAGGGTAAGTATAGTGACTGCTATGTATATGTAAACAGTTATAACGTATATCAAAAAATAAAATAAAATAGAATTAATGAATATAAACTAAAGCATACATTCTCTCCTAATGCTCCTATCTGTTATTTTTATAGTGATTGTAATTTAAGAAATTTGTTTAAAGTATAATATTTGCTTAAACTTTTTCATAAATAATTCACCAACTTCGTTTTTGTAATGTACTATTTAATTTTTGTTAGATAAAACTCTTCCGTGAGTGGAACAAAAAATGGCCTGCAGAATTAAAACTGAAGTTGCAGGAAAAAGTTACCGAAATAGATTCAAAAGTGGGTGAAAAGCTTACAAACGAAATCACGCCTAATGGCAATGAACATGTGAATGGTTGTAACGGTGATGCAGTCGCGACAGAAACATGCGATGAAGTTAATGAAGTAAATGGAGAGAATAAAACAACTGTTGAAATAGTTGACGAATCTAATGAGGTTGCAGAGGTGTCAAATAATTTGGAGAGCCATATTGTAGAAGCACTAAATAATGAAACTCCAGTCGATGACAATAATATGAATGAAAACGGCGGCGATAACCAGATTGAAGACACAAATCCCATATCAACCGTGGTCACAGATACTGCTATCGAAAATTCTATTAATAATGCACAGTTACATTTGGAACCAGATGAACAAGTTCAAATACAAGCACAAAATGCATTCGAAGAAAATATAGCTGTAGTCGATAGCATTGCAACCACCACTGCCACTGTCGCATAAAAGCATCGACTGATCCATAAAAAGAAAAGAAACATCAAATAGCAGTTATTTACCGGCTCTAGCATGGCTACTAATAGTAAGCAAGAACAAATATGGAATTAATTATCTACATTCACATCTCATATAAACGGAACACGGTAAATTTGCTAATTGACTTTGATTATTCTGTAACAACTCATTCAATTACCGTTATAGATCAACGTATTTAAGTGAATAAATGAATTAGATTTACAAAATATGAAATGAGATGTGCTAAAACAAAACTTTTGCAACACTTGCATTAAATACAAAATTCCAATGATCTACACAAAATATTCAAAATGAAATCATTTATTTCCTCGAAATCATATCATTCCATTTAAATTATGTTCAAAACATAGCATTTCCATTTTTAATTCTAGACTTTAAAGCAACTAGTCTAAGTATATACATACATATATCTATTTTTTTTTATCAATTCTTAACTGAACAAAATAAATAAAAAACTGTAATATTTGTAGTAATTTTTTGTACAATTGTGGGTTTAAGAATCACGAAGAAATAAAAAAAAAATTTCATTCTTGCAAATATTCCTTTTGTGTTTTGATTTGCAATTCACCGTTCTATTACTCATTATAGACTACATACGTCAATTTGTGACACAAACACACATAGCCGCTTTAATCAACTATTGTATTCAAATATCGGTTTGCAATAATCTCATCAGCATTAGTAATTAATATTGCGAACCAATGTAGCACAGTGTGATAAGCTACAGTTATAAATTATAAAATATAACTGTAATTGCTATAAAAGATTTGCCACAGAAAATGTATCACTATATAGTGGAACTGGGAAAACTATTTCAACGCCGTTTGGAATATTGAAAATAATGTACGCGTGAGAGTCGGTGAGAAGAAATGTTTAAAATGAATCGCCAATTTTTCAAGTACACTAAATTTTGGAATTGTTCGAATTCATTGAACTAGGGGCTGGATCAAAAGAGCCTCATGTACGGAAGAAGTGAGACTTTGAGATTGTGGCAAAGTCAGTGTGCTCTGTCGGATGTTAAGCCAGGTTCATATCGGTTCGTTAAGCCGATTGTTATTATACAAAGCCAATTCTACCACTGTTTTTGCCAATTACATTTCGATTTTCGAATGGTTTTGGTGAGATCCTATGAACGGGTACGAATTTCTGTTCTTCTGTTAAACACACTCAAAAAGAAGTAAGGAGATGAAACTATGGTAACCTCTATTTCTATCGGTTTTGATATAAATTGTTTGAGTTTTATTAATAATAATTATGGATCCACTAGGAATCTGTGATTTTTGTTCCAAAACCCGATAAGATTTTTGTTTCATCTGGTTAGTGTTTTTTTAACGGTTTTGTTTATATATTATATTTATATAAACATATTTTCACGGTATAGTACCACCTGAAGGCAGACAAAGAATTGTTGTCGGAATCGTCTAACGGAGGACCCGGACATACGTAAAACAACTGATTGCCAAGGATATTGGGTATTTGATGTTAAGAGTGTCATTTGTGAACTTCAAATATCAACAAAAAAAATTAAAATTGAAATTTTTAATTAAAATTAAATTTGAACTAATTAAAAATTACCATTTTTAACCCTCAAATATTAACAAAATAAAAAATTAAAGTTAATTAAATTTTAAATAATTACATAAAGTTAAAGAGTTTCATTTTGGACGAAAAAATTTAAATTAATTAATTAAAATTAAGAAAATTGCAGAAATTTTTGTCTATCACATTACCCATATGAACACACTGTAGCCTGCACTGTGTGACCCTACCTCTTCTGCGCTTATGCGCTACAGATTTACTGCTCCGGTTTCGCCATACTGCCGCTAAGGTTAACCGAAACGGCGCTATTCTTTGCTGCAATACAGAAAAGTGTATGAAACAGTTTTTTTCGCCGCATTAACATATGTTGTTGTTGCGCAGCGCTACATATGTTTATCATTTATTCATTCTCCACTTGCTGCCTTTTCCGTATTTCCGGCCTTTATACGCTCAAACAAACACAATTTTTTTGAAACCGTTTCAATAACGAGTTGAGCGCGAAACGTGTTGGTTGATAGAAGCTACACGTGGGAAGCTTTATTTTTAACGGAAAAAAAACTTTTTTTCAAATCTGTAGAAAAACAGTGTATTTTAAACAGTTCATACTTTATATAAGTGCAGATGTACAAATAAATTAAAATAAAAAATTACTTTTCAAAGTGCGCGCCCATGCAAGTGAAGCCAATCGAATCCCAATTTGTAGATTAAATCTGTCCGTGTAATTAAAACTTGTCTATTAGGGTCCACACTGACGCAGAACCGTCTGCGCTGAACGTGCTGTGTATACAACACCAACAATTAAATTAAAAATACAATTAAATTAAAAATACATACAGGTGTGAATAAAAATATTTAAATTAAATAAACAATGCGCCGGTGGAGTTGTTTGCTGATTTTGTGTACATTTTATAAAGGTGAGCATGTTTATAGTGCAAAAATACATACAAACGTATATAGCAGTATGCTGCGGCGCTTAAAGTTTAAAGAATGTTGTTCCTTATGAAGTGGGTATGGATTTTGGTATAAATATATGTATTCGTATAATAATATCTAAGTGAAATATGTGGCAAAATGTGTATGCACTTCCTATTGCTCGCAAAAAACCACGAAGTCGTTACTAATAGTCATGCAGAATAGGATTGACGCGCAACTCAGATAAAAAAAAATCTCAAAATGTTTTTAATCCTTTGTAATTGAAAATTAATTCGATTATGCATCAAATTACAAAACGTTTCATGAAATATATTTAAATTTCACATTTTCTTTGATTTTTATTGTTTTAAATTTTTATTAGCGATCTTCAACGGCAGCAACAAATTCCTTCGTTCACATATATTTTTGGTGTAATTGCAATCTGGTCGTTCCAGTCTTTCCAACAGAGAACGTACATTTATAGAGAAGGTTCATGCAGAGAATGTATAAACATGTATGTTTATATAGAGAAAGTCCAACCAGAGATAATTCCTGGTATAAACATTCTGGTCTTTTTCTATAAAATTATGTTCTCTGCCCAATCCAGTCAACTGTCAAAGTTCGGAGGTGAGCGGTTCTCACATTTCCAGTGACAGGAGAGTTGGGGATCTCTTTATCTCTGCATCAAATACTAGCAAAATACCATATGAGCAATGTAGTATTTTGCTGATAACAAATAATAATAATATATATTTTTTTTTTCAAAATCATTTTTACCACAATTTTACTACTTTCAATTTACAGTGTATGAAAGCATGTCATCTCTTAATAAATACGTGCATAGTAATTTATTAAAGCTAATGACATTTTAGTCCGAAATTCTGTTTTAAATAATCATGAGTGGCATTGGGATTTTCCATAGAATTTCTGAAGATTTAAAATCGATTAAGGGGCTAGAGCGTGTGACACATGTAATCTGGTTTCAAAAGCAAAGCAAAAAAAGAGACAAAAAGACAAAGACAAAAAAAAAATCATATAAAAACAAGCTTCTGCAATTGGCAGGGGGGATGCGTAAGTTCGGCTTACTCGAATTAATTTTTTTTTTTTTTTTAATTTTTCCAAATTTAGTGTGGCTCTGCATTAATGTAATCACGCGGCAGTTTGCCGAATATGCGTTTAACGAGTTGCTTATGCCATTTATGTGCATATGTATGCTTGTATTAAGTATAAGCTAAACGCTTTGCCCTTGACTGTGACGCAATGCGCCAGCTATATACATATACATACATATGCCGGCAATTCTTGTAGCATTGTCACAAAACAAAAGACTTCGGACATGAACGCGCAGTTGTACAGTGTAGGAGTGCTGAAGTGCTGCCGTATTTACATACAAATTGCAACAAGTGTAGATGAAATATTTATTCTAAATAAAAAGTAAGTTTCTGCACCCGGTTATGTGAATTTAATAAATATAATTATATACATATAAATGATTAATAACTTTTTTCATGTGAGAACCTGATTAACTGATCACTTGCTATAAATTTATACTAGATTGTGCGCTCATTTAATATTAAAAATTATATTCCTCTCTTATGGGTCCACCGAGTTGGAGATTTCGAAAAATTTAAGTTTTTATTTCTATGGTCTATATCTTTAAAAATAGCGTACTAACATTTTTTCCTTCTAAAGTGTAGCAACTTAGTACAATCAGCTTGAGTTTATTTTAAACGCGTTTTTCTTAAAATTCGAACACAAAACAACTCATCTTTTTTACTTTTTTCTGCTTATTTTGTATATGTTTGTAAATAAAACCATCTCGGTTTCACTTGCGTAGATGGTGAGACCACTTCCGTCTGCCCAATTTGTTACGACGCTAAGATATTCCTGCGTTACGATACTGAGGAACTTTCCTTTGACTATAAGTGCTAGATCGCCTGTATACCACGATACTCAAGTTTTTTAAGCAGGTCGTTAACGACCAGAATTTATAGAAGAGGAGAACTTCAGCACCCTCAATATCAAGGAAAGTCCCAACAGCGAATTGTGCTTCTGATAGATAATCCCTTCTCCTTATGTATCTTTCCAACAGTCTCTCCAGAGTTTTTAGTAAGAGGGAGGAGAGGCTGATGGGACGCGTTACGTGGGAGCCCCTACCAGACTTCGAGATGAACGTAACTCTGACTCGTTTCCAGGCCCTCGAGATGTAACCCAGTCTTATGCAGTTCGTATAGGTAGGTGACGACCAGTTGCATGACACTTTAACAGCTACTGCAGCTGCACTGGCACATATAATGTCATCCGGCCCCGGGAACTTAAACGAATTGATCGCCCAGGTAAAGTGCGGTTCATCCAGGAGATCGATAAAGGCTTGGTAATTATTTTGCAGCACTCCGTGAGATATCACCCCAGAGGACGTATTGTTCGGGAAGTGAGCATCAAGAGCATTTAAATGAGAGTGTATACAGTACAGTTAAGACATTAAATACGTTCTCAAGCACACTTACGACAAAAATCAACTTTTTTCTGGGTATATTTTCAAGATATTTAGTAAAAACATAATATTAATATTATGAATTATTAATATTAATAATTAAAAAGTATTTAACAATATTCGAGGTTAGACTTAAAAACGACATATTTACATCGAATTTTCATATTTATCTTATTAATACTCTATCTATATCTTTTGAGTTACATTACTTTATTTATTTTTATACTCTCGCAACAAAGTTGCTAAAGAGAGTATTATAGTTTTGTTCACATAACGGTTTTTTGTAAGTCCTAAAACTAAAAGAGTCAGA